GAGAGAGAGAGAGAGAGAGAGAGAGAGAGAGAGAGAGAGAGAGAGAGAGAGAGGGAAGAGATGGGAGAGACAGCGAGAATGAGAGCACGCAAGTAAGTGACATCCGAGGGTGAACTTGCATACATCAAAATACGATGACCCCTTCTTCTGGTCCTTTGGTGACACGGGTGCTCCCGTTGGTGCATGTCTGCCGTGGGTATACACGCTAGCAGGAGCTGTGCTGTTAAAAGGTCCATGGTTGCTAGAGCCAGGGTCAATGTGAAGATGGTCAAGATTGCGACCTTCTCTCGGGACAGGTCCGCTCCTAGATAGACTTGGAAGATTTTCCAGAGATCGGTTACGGTCGAAGTACGACATCGTCTGCAAGCGAAACGCGTTTTTTCCGCCGGAATTGTAATTTTAGCTGAATTTCACTACAAGCGAGAATTGTCAATTGTAGAGAGAAAGGGGGGCGGAAGATGTTGCTGCAAACGTCATGGTATTTCTCCGCTCTAGTGGAAGATAGTGGCATGTGTGTGTGAGAAAATGATGAGTGAATATCTATCAGGGTGCCATGTTTCTAGCTGTATATGTATGGATTCCGTTCTGACAGTATAGCCAACGCAAAACTTTTCCGTAACGTTGATGGAATGTTGTAGATATAATAAATTGTGCCCTAGCAATTTTTATAATCTGACGCTCTTCTAGGAATGTTGTACTTTGGTTATATCGTTAATAAGGTTCTAGCAATATTCCATGAACGTGGTACACTGGCGTTGCAGTCATAGGGTGTCAACTGTCGAAAGTATTCGAAATCAGCAAGCGTGATAGCCTATATATGGAAGTTTAGTTGCCACATAGATTACATACATGTATATTCACATACATAGATTGATACATTGATACAATGATAAATACAGTTCTGTACTGTACAAATACTGTACAATAATACAGATTGATGCATAGATATAATGATTGTGATAAGGTATTTGTATCGCTTCACAATTTCCAGTATTTTGAGGGACGCTGTTATTTTACGAATTACAATTTAGTATTTATTACATTAATTAAATTTACGTTGTAAGACATCAAATCACTAATATTTGTAATATTTACCTTACCAGTAAAGCTGTGTCCTGTGTGAGTAATATCCTGCACTACTATTCACTCACAATTCACCAGTGCACATAATTTCACGCGGCGATATCATACAAACTGCCTTACGTCACATGCGTCTAAACAGAGGAATTGCTCCGACCTGTGATTGGAGGATAAAAATAGAATTCGTGATGTTTCGTTTCACCGGTCATAGCCGCGCGTGTATATTTGCTAATTAATTAGACTAATCGTGCTTCAATACTCAAAATTCACAGAGATTAAGGCTAAGACATGTGTCTATAATAGCTAGAATTTTTAGAAATGTAACTCAAATCGTTCGCTCTATATGATAGTTATAGTACACGTTCCTACCGGTCATAGCATAATATTAATAGCATATGCGGCGGGAGTGGGCGGGGTCTATTTTCATCCTCCAATCACAGGTCGGAGCAATTCCTCTGTTTAGACGCATGTCTTACGTCGACGACTATATATGTACATAATATCTATATATATATACAGTTAGGACACATATGTTATATTTTGTATGACGTAATCATGCTGTAGTACGATAGGTAGTACTATACTACTACTACTACTATGCTGCCTCTCTTACCGATGACTGCCGTGTATTGCCAGGCTCTCTCTCACTCGCAGGTACCCGCGCTAAATCGATCCACAAGCAAAATGTCGATGGAAGAACACACCTGTCGCTTCTATATAGGTGTAGGGATGCAGCCATATATTGATTGCATGTGTGTGTGTGTGTGGGTGGGGGGTAGGAGAGTAACCTGTATACATCCCTACAGTACGCTAATGAATGAAGGACGCTCTGTGGCTGTCGTCACAATGATGACGTTGTCATTGTTAAGAGCAAACTACGGGAGTCATACCTAGTGCTGTGAAACTATCTCTGCTATTGGTATGTAGATAGGTTGGCGCTAATGTCTAGATATGTACTAAAAATGTCATCACTTAGGAGCGTGTATTTAGGATAATTCGCAAATAGCGACTAAATAAATATTTAATAACATGAAAGCATTACTCTATATTAGTTTCTAGCTGCGTAGTCGCGTTCCTGAAGGAGTGCATGCAGCTACGCTGAAAAATAACCAGTAGGCGTCGTACGTATGCTACAGTTTATAAACCAGATTTTATATCCTTTGATTCATCGAGCTCACCCCCAAAGGTCCATCTAATCTCAAAGTCGAGATGTTAGGATTGCGTGTACACTAGCTAATTATTTTACGATGAACATAATTATGCGTACATATTTGCTGTATACATACCTGTATATATATATATATATTGCATAGATATGTATACTTTATATTTGCGTATGGTGAAAGAAAGATATTAGTAGACCAGTAAATCGTTACTTGGATTTTTTGCGTTATTTTCAGAATAGCGCCAGATTATGCAAATTTCTAGGGCGCAATTTATTGATCTAAGAAGCCAGCTGCGGTTTGTTGTTCAGCTCTCTGGTCTTCGGACTGATGGGTGTGATGTATACGAATCCCAGCCTGGTCACAGGTGTGCATTGTGTCCCTCAGTAATTAACTCATTTACCCTGATTATAGCACCAGCTACGAGGAGCAGAAATAATGAAAGATAGACACGAGTATTATAGCATAGACGTGAATTGCTCTGAATTTGTAGTAATGTGGACGAAAAGGGTTAAATGGACTTTTTAATATCGTAGATATAGTTTAGATATAGTATAGATATAGAAATCGCATATCTTATCGCATTTAAATTATTTCTCCCGAGAGATGGCGCAACCGTGTCATTGTGTAAAAGATATTTGCGCACAATCACACAGCTTCACTTCCACGTGCCCCCGCACGCGTGATTTTTGCACCCGGCAGTTAGTGCGATATTATATGACTACTAGGCACTTAGGATATGACTACTAGGCACTTAGGATATGACTACTAGGCACTTAAAAAAAAAAAAACCCTAACCCTAACCTAACCTAAACCCTAAACCTAACCCTAACCCTAACCCTAAAAAAAAGAAGGTCAATCAAGAACATAGGGCTCTAGTGAGCGCTGCAATTGGTTGATACAAATCACGTGCCTCAAACTCATGTTTTATGGTGCATTCACTGCATTGTGACCCTAACCCTAACCCTAACCCTAACCCAAACCATATTTTAAAAAATATATAAAAAAAATCAATTTTTAATTGTTGTTATTAAAATGTTGTAAATAAATCATGTAAATATTTGCGTTAATTGGAAAAAAATTGTTAAACGGATAAAGATAGAAAAATACAGAAAACAGGAAAAGAATTAAAAAACGGATGGGATTCCGCCTTCTTCAGGGGATTTCTTTCAGCCTTGAATTGCGTCCTGTACTCGCTAGGCTATTGAGGCATATTGGAATTATGAATTTTGGATGTGCTATGAATATAACGACACTGTGACGTCATTGAGCGACGAAACAAGCTCAACCAATAGCAGCGCTCACTAGAGCCCTATGTTCTTGATTGACCTAGGGGAAAAATCACGCTTACCGGGCGCACCGATTATCGGCACGACATCTGCAGTGATG